AACAGCAATAGTGGGGATCCCGTGCTTCTCCAATAGCTAATCTGAGTAGTCCTGCAGTGCTCATTGCTGAACCCTTGTTCTTTCAGTAACATACCATGGGGATTCTTTCGGTTCTGTATTCTGAAGCCTATCCAATGTTCAATGTTCAGACAAAATTGAAGTACTTACCCAATGTTCACTGCGGTGTTCAATATTCAGACAAATTTGAAGTACTTACCCAATGTTCACTGCTGTGTTCAATATTCAGACAAATTTGAAGTACTCACCCAATGTTCACTGTTTTGTTCAATATATGCAGACAACTTTATAAATACAATTTGTTTTGGACTCTTAACCTTGACTCTGAAAGCACAATGTACTACTACATGCCTAGTGTCCGCACGAAAACGGACAAATATGTGAACTTGGCAAGACTCCTAAAGACTGTGTAATAATATTTCGTAATCCATAAGAGAAGGCAGTAGCATAGATGATGTGAGTCACACAGACTGTGTTACTCAAATGATATTTTGTAACCAAAATATTTTTTAGTTCGAGTCAGAGATAGAAAATGCAGCTCAGCTCAGTTCATGCGCTACTACTCCCATTTCAGATTAGCTTTCTGATCTTTACACCCAGCAAGAAAAGAATCTGTCACAGAGGAATTGAAACGTATTGGCTTTCGCCGAAGGATTAATGTCACACACACATCAGAAACAGCGCAAATTTGGGGCATTTTTCTCTACTCTTTTCTTCAAGCCCACTTATTACAAGGCTCAGTTTTATCTAGTACCCGCACGATACGTACATACTAAGTGCTCAACTTTATAAATTCAACTCGTCTTGACTCTGACATCCAAACAGTAACAGAAATATATTAAGTTATTAACTAATTTGGCTAGACTCCTAAATAGTACAGTGTAATAATATTTTCTACTCAAATGGTGAGTCACATACATTGTGTTACTCAAATGAAATGTTTTTCCTCCTGATGCGCCCGCTTCTTGCTACATCTGTAAGTTGTGTTGCTTGCATCTTACAGCTTATCATGTAGTTGTAGTAGGGTGGTATGCGTGACCTCCATGCAAGAGCCTTGAATTTCCACGTGGTACTGTACGGCCTAAGATGATGTTGTCACTAGTGATCTTGGGGACTCAGAGTTCGACTGGTGCAATGGAAGAGGGATAAAATTAACAACGGGTGATACTAGCTATTTGGGGTGTTGCTCAATTTTGACTAGAGACCCGGGTGGGTGTTCTGGATGGAAGATTTGAAGGTGAGTCAAGGTAGTATGAGGCACTGAGGCTAGTGCTGGATGGATCAGCATGCTATATATATGATGTGGTGGCGACTTGCCAACTTTTGAGTGAGTCTTTGTCTGCCGTGTGGAACTGAGTCTGACTTGACTCGTAGCAAATCTATGCCAAAACAGCATCTGCATCTAGATGATAGATGATGCACATAATTATAATTTGTTACATGTCACAGTCTCATATATATCAGAACTAACTAACTGGTGCCCTTTTTCCTTGTAGAAATTTCTCCTTGACGTGTTATATAATAAGTTGGACTTTATTTGGGTAGACTGTTCTACAAGGAGTGGTGGTTTAGTGAAATTAAAACCATAAATGAGACAAGGAAGAGAAAAACATGCCGTTTGTTGACTGGAGGGTTGAATTTTCACTTTTGACAAAAGACTGAGAAATGAATGGCAATGCAGTCTAGAAGGAATTTTGGTGTTTGGCTCCAGGAATAGTCGAATTTGCTTTGCTTTCTACGTTCAGCGAGAGAAAGCAGTCTCGCATTTCTTCGAGAAGAGCGATATGACCGAAATATCGGCCGATACTAGTTCTGTTTTACCGCGGTTAGCAGTATTTTTTTTTTGACACTCATACTGCCGTTAGCAGTAACTTGGCAATTAAACTGATTAACAATAAGAGCAGCAAAGCCAGGCCCATCAATCCCAGTCATTCATTCCTGCTTTGCTAGCCGTTAACTGAACCTGTACCTTCAGTTTCAGGTGTTGTTGTACTCAGAGCAGCTGGAACTGTGCCCGGCCTCCTTGGCAAGCACTGCACTTCCTCCTTCCCAGGCATCCTTGCTTGCTGCTGCATTTCCTTGAACTCCTGGCGCTGCAGCTTCCGTCCATTGAAGCAACTATATGTGGTCAGGCCAGTTAGATCCCATGTTTCTCCAATGGGGATGGGGTAACAATAATCCCCTGACCTCTAGTGCTGACTGCTGACTCCTGAACCCACAAGGAGCATATTTGGAGAAACAAGTTTATCAGATTATCATATTTCATTAAATAAAGATGTCTGAACTACCACAGTTACCAATAACATTCAGCTTCTCCAAAAACTAGTATGGTGGGCTTCACCTTCAACTTTTGTGTCAGCTAGTCACTCAGTTGCCCTTGATCATAGCCATATCTAGCTGCTCCTTGATCTGTTTGAGCGACAATTAATACGGGACGGAGGTAGTAGGTAATAACTTTTTGTATGGTAAAGATCACCCCGCCTCCTCCTGGGCAAGTTAATAACTCATATCATTGATTCGATACTGAATTATGGAAATCTGATACTTGTTCAAGCTTGTGTTATGCATTTTATGAAAATTGTAATCATTTCTATACTGTCTAAGTTCTAAATGGATGTCATATTTTTTTTAATCTAAGGCACCTGGGCATTAGATAAGTTGCTATGTTGTTTGCTTGTACTCCTTTTATGGCCTTTATCTGTTGCTACGGGAACTAGAACATGGATTCCCCCACACACACAAAAAACAGAACACGGATTGCAAAATTCAATCTAATTTGTTCCCTTCTCGCCATTTATTTATCTATTATTATTTTTTCTGAGTCAAAAGATAGAAAAAGCAGCTCAGCTCATGGGATGATAGACAAGAAACCAACAACTTAATTCTATCTTATCGTTACCTCCACTACTCCCATTCCAGCTTAAGTTTCTGATCTTTAAACCCAGCAAAAAAAGAATCTGTTACAGAAAATAAATGCGACAGAGGAATTAAAACATGTGGGTTTTCACCCAAGGATCAAGTGCACGCACACATGAAAAACAGAGCAAATTTGGGACACTTTTCTGTACTCTTTTCTTCATGTTCAAGGATTATTGCAAGGCTTAGGTTTATACAGTACCCATAGTATCCAGATCAATCGGATATGGACTCAAGCACTCAACTTTATAAATACATTTTATCTTGGACTCTGATTTAACCGGCAATGCAAACATTGTTTTGATTCTGAAAGTACTTGCCCAAACACAACCAGAATGTACTTGACATGCAAACTTATGCTACTAGGATAGAAGTCCTCCATGCCTACATGTTAGTAGACATATATGTTAACTATTTAGCAAGACTCCTAATTAAGGCAGAGTAATAATATTTCCTAATTCACAGGACAACACGGTAGCATACATGATATGAGTCACAGATAGTGTGCTACTCAAATAAAATGTTCTTCCTCTTGATGCACACGCTTCTTCCTTCCCACGGTAAGTTCTGGTGCTTGCATGTTACAGCTTATTGTGTAGTTGTAGTAGGGCGGTATGCGAGACCTCCATGCAAGAGCCTCAAATTCTCCACAGGGTAGTGTACCACCACATCCTAAGAGAATGTCCCGCAGATTGATCTTAGGGACATTCTCACTGGAATCTGACTGATGATAGTTGCAAAGCATGAAATATCTGTGGCTCTTCACCAATCTCCAACAATACACTGGTGCATCTTCCCGCAAACGAAGGTACGGGTTATGGTCAAACATAAGGAGATTTGCCTGTTTACTTGCTCGTACACATTCAAGAACTGCGCACCAGAATTGAGCATTGAAGTTCTGTTGCAGTAACCCAGCAACAACATGCGCGCTTGTGAAACACTGTCTCTGTTCCAAAGCGATCTCCATAGCCATAGTTGCCAGTTTTGGATGCTCGCCAGGATTTATGCTTCCAAATGCAATTGACTTGAAAAAATGCCAATAAGCTTCTTGAGAGATATAGTCCAGTCGAAGTGCTCCCGTTGTTCCCAGATTCACAATTCTATCTGACCGACTGGTAATTATGATTTTGCTCCCGCCACAAGGTGTCATGCAGGTTACGGAAGATTTCAGACTTCTCCATGTTTCCTCGTTAATATCCTTGGCTAGTTCAATAATAATCAGCAACCTGTTTCGAGAAGCAAAATTCTGATGCCTGAATTTAATATTGTTTTCTCTCAGGTTGATCACTCCTTCATCCTTAAGACTTCCTTTTGGAAAGAAGAGGATCATCGAGAAGCGATCACGCACACTCTCATCCCTACAGACATTCTCAACAAGAGTGCTCTTCCCTACTCTTATTGGACCAACGATCGGAAGTACAGCCAAATCTTGAGTAGGACACATCAAGAAATTTAGGACCCGTTCCCGTTCTGTTTGGCGACCAAACATGCAGTTGTCCAACAGCAGATACGTGCCATAAGGTTGGCGGAGGATGCGAGGATATAACTCCAAGAAGAAAAGAAACTCCTTCATACCAGCCACGGTGTCTTCAAGGGTGTCCACCATCCGTTGCAGCTCTTCTCGCATGTTGTTCGTGCCGAACAACACTGCTTCTCTGTTGCTGCTACCACAACGTGTGTGAGAGAAACGAAGGCGTTTGATTGAACTGCCTTTAGACAGTGCAGATGAGGAGTGGCTCATCTCCTCCTCCCCCTCCTTCTCGTCGAGGGAAGCTTGGAAGCTCAAGGCATCGAGAACGTAGCGGCCTCTGTACATTCCTTGCCTCAACATCTTGAGCTGACGGAGCATCCCCTGGTTGGTGATGTCCCGCGCCTCGGCCTCCTCGACGATGATGTCGATTCTCAGTAGGACACTCTGTAGCCTCCGCAGAATCCGGTCGATGCCAGGCTGCTGCTGGAAGTATTTGCTGATCACGAACGAAGCTGACCTGCTGATGAGGTCGCCTACGATTGCAGAGACGAGGATATCCATTGATCGCGAACCACCTCGACTCAGAGCTCGAGTGGCGTGATGGAAGAGGGATAAAATTAGCGATGGTGATACTAAATATTTGGGGTGTTGCTCAATTTTGACTGGAGACCTGGGCTGGTGTTCTGGATGGAAGATTTGAAGGTGACTGGCTATGGACTATGGCACTGAGGCTTGGTGCTGGATGGGGCGTGCTATATATATGTATATATGATGTGGTGGTGCTCTACCAATTTTTGAATGAGTCTTTGCCTGCCGTGTGGAACCGAGTCTGATGAGTCACTCGTCGCGAATCAATGCCAAAACAGCACTAATTTTTCTTACTTTATACCTCTAGTTAGTAAGTGGCGAATCATGACCTGTAATGCTTTTGCGATTCTCAATTGAATAAGCTATGTTGTGGATTTAATGGAATGTTAGTGTAACTTTTAGTTTATAACTTCTATATGTGCTAATGGCATTTAGAAATGTGTCTCAAGTCGAATACATATTTCCTTCTGTTTTTTGAGGTGTGGTGGTCTTCAACTTTTTTTGTAGGGTCAAGTGTACTTTTTACAAACCAAAAGACAGGGCCGCCGCATCCAGACATAGATGATGCACAGGAACACTATTTATTACATTTAACTTGGACTTGGACTTGACTTCTACGAGCAGTGGTGGTTTAGTCAAAGATGTCCACTGATGGCTGAATGTTGACAGAAGACTGAGAAATGAATGACAAGGCCGTCTAGAAGGACCACTCGGCTGAAATGAATGACAAGGCCGTCTAGAAGGACCACTCGGCTGGCAGGCTGGTGAAGTTTCATGATGGATCTTTGTCGACACCGCTCGGTCCCAACGTCCATGGACCTGCGTTCTCCAGTGTCCTTGACCTGCCGGCGTCCTCTACCGGTGTGGTTTCGGCCCCGGCGCACCTGCTGCTGCCCCCCTTCTAGCTTCGGTTCGCCGGTGTTCTGGTGGCTGCGTATCGGGCAGCACGGATCAAGGTTCCCTTCCGGCTTCAGATTGCCGGCGGTGTCGGCCGCCATCTTCCCGTCCGTGTCGGCTTTCTACCTTGCTGACCCTGTCCATCCACACGTCATGTCGGTTCCAAAGCTCGCGGTTTTCGTCGGCGGCAGGTGCAACCCACCCTTTCCGAGGTAGCAGTCGCCAAACAGGTTGGCTCCGGCATCTTTGAATCCTGGTCTGGTGGCTTTGGGATTGCTCGGAGTCAACCAGTCAAAATCTATGCTCAGCTTGCCGATGCTGGCAGTGGCAACATTTGCGGGTGTCATTCCCTTCTTGAAGGCGATGTCATGGCCTTTATCCGTGCCCCTCTTCAAGCATCAGGGGAAACTCTAGGTCCGGTTCTCCGAATTGGATGGCGGCGGCGGCACGACGTCGTTCCCCTTCTTGAGGGTGCTATATTACTAGCTCGTGGCGTCCCCGGTGTTCTCTTTGTAGACGTTCGGCGTCCTGCTCCTCTAGTTTTATATTTGGTGGGTTTTTTTTTGCGGGTGAATAATGTATTACTCAACTCAAGAAGTTCATACAATCAGTCGTAGCAAGCTCCATAGCAGCCGTAGGACCCGAACCGATCCAAGTCATGGTTCTACCTTCTAAACGAGCAAATCTATCTATGCTATCACTAACTTTATTTTGGCTAGGATTAACATGAGTAATACACGAATCACGAATAGACATGAGATATCTAATCTCCTTAATGAGCGATGAATAAACTGATCTATCCACCTCCTTTGCCTAGATCAACTTTACTACAACAATAGAGTCCATCTCAATCTCGATAGGAAGCTCACTTTTCTGGATCGAAAACGACAACCCTTCCATGCATGCACATAATTCCGCTTCAAGAGTGTCTCGACATGAAAAAAGTTGCCTACAAAAGGAAAAAAATAATCTCACCCTTGTCATCTCTCAACACCATGCCAGCGCCTGCTGAGCCATCTTCTGCATAAGAACCATCAGAACTAAGTTTAACCCAGCCAGCCTTGGGAGCACTCCATTTAGGCCCCGTCTCTCTTGTAAATGCAGTTGACCAGTTAGAAGGGTTATCATAAGTGACAAAAGATTTCCCTTTGCTTACATCCAAGGACAGGTCAATCTTAATACCGACAAGAGAATCAAGATAGCTCACCAAAAAACGCCTCTAGACTTCCATAGGCGGTGGCGGTTTGTAATGGACCACCTCGTTCCTAATATGCCACGCCCGCCACAACAACATTAGTAGCATGGACCTTTCAATATCCGAAAGAGGCTGTAACGCATGTAGCAGCCATTCTTTACCAATGTTTTGCATGGAATTAATACTAGGCAAGGACCAAACATCTGTCATTGTATCCCAAAGCATCCTTGACAGGGTGCAGCGGCAAAGTGCGTGAAAACTGTCTTCAGGTTCCATAGAGCACACCGGGCATAGATCATTTAATTCAAGGCCCCGGTTGCGTTTGTTCCTCCATGTGGGCAGAGAATCTGTAGCCACCCGCCAAGCAAAATTCTGAACTGTTGGGGGTACATCAGCTGACCAGATAAGTCTCCAGCAAAACCTTCGACCATCCGGACGAGAACTCGAACCAGTTGCTGTGCTTCTATGTGCTTCGTCAAAACCAAATTGGTAAGCGCTCCTAACTGAGAAAGTTCCATATTTTCCAGGACCCCAAGCCAACGTGTCTTCCTCCAACCGCGGTGATGCCCGAGTTTTCATTATCTCAGCGATGTCCGTCGGCAGAAAAAATTCTTGCAGTAAGACAAGATTTCACGAACCATTCTCATTGAGCAAGTCCGAAACAAAACGGATTCTACATCTTCCTTGGAGCGTTATGGGTTTATAGGAAAAGGGCCTTGGAATACAGTTATCGCGCCAAATTCGTATGCTTCTTCCATTGCCCATCCTCCAAATAATCCCTTTTTTCAGAAGATCAAGACCATAACTAATAGCCTACCAAGACGAAGATGCATTTCCAGAGAAAACAATATCCTCAAGCTTATCATCTGGATAATATCTAGCTTTCAACACTTGTGCACACAGACTGTCCGGCTTTGAAATCAATCTCCATGCTTGCCGAGCTAGTAATGCTTGATTGAAAATACGAAAGTCACGGAAACCTGCACCACCCTTACTTTTGTGCTGCATTAGATCATTCCATGCACGCCAATGCACCTTCCTTTTACCCTTTTCAGCTCTCCAATAAAAGCCTCTTACCATCCTAGTAAGTTCATCGCAAACTGAAAAAGGCACCTTAAAAACTCCCATAATATACGTGGGTAGAGCTTGAGCCACAGATTTAATAAGCGTCTCCCTCCCCGGCTGGGCAAGAAGACCATCACCCTACTGAATCAAATGCTTAGTCAAACTCATATGTAGGTTTTGGAATCGCCCTCTGGACATGCGACCATCAGGGGTAGGAAGGCCGAGGTACTTTTCCTCAAACACCAAGCTAGACACATTTAGTACCCCTCTGACTTCCTCTTGAGTGATGAAAGGACACGCAGTACCAAAAAGAATTGAGCATTTATCAAAGTTCAAACTTTGCATTACTAGGAAAAGGCCTACTAATGGTGCACCTGTTTTGCCTACTAATGGCGCACTACAGGTGCGCCACTACTAGCACGCCATTAGTATTTTTTTACTAATGGCGCACCTGTGGTGCGCCATTAGTATCTATACTAATGGCGCACCACGCAGTGCGCCATTAGTATAGCCCACGATGCGCCATTAGTATGCCTCTCAGGGGGCCATATTTACCCATGTGCTTTGGCATACTAATGGCGCACTTGTGGATGATGCGCCATTAGTGTGCTCTGGCTTACTAATGGCGCACTATGTGGTGGTGCGCCACTAGAATGAATATTAGGGATTATTTTTTTCTTTTCTGATATTTTCACAGGTTACAAAATATATTATTGGACAGAATATAGCTAGCACCACACAGCAACACTAGATTCATCAAATACAATAGAAGATTAGTCTCTGAATATAATTCATCATATTAGTCTCCGAATTTAAAATACCGAACAAAGTTAGAACATTACAAGTCTCGAAACCGCGAGTAGCGAGTTTGTCTTCACATTACAAGTCAATATCGATCATCTAAACTACCATCATATAGAAGAGAGCTGCGGTCATCACGATGAGCATAATCACGATGAAACTGGTCTTCATCCGGTTCCTCCAACGCTCCCTCCTCTCTCCTGCTAGATAGCGCGCGTATCTAACTTCCGCCTCCTCCCTAGTGGTGTACCCTTTGTAACTATTACCGCTGAAACGATGAACCTGTCTCCGACACTCCTCGCAGTCGTCGTAGACTCCGGGAACCTTACCCTTGTACACGACTTATGACGGCATCTCTATGCACTAGCCAAACAAAACGTTAGTAGCAATTCACAGACAATACATAAGCAATATATAAGTATGCAACAAAAGGATCGGAAGAGAAAAGCAACACATTAATAGCATCGATTACATCTAAGTTGAACGATTGTCCAAACCAAAGAGACATACAAGTTCATTAAAGTTTAATTATAACATGAGCCAATCGATGTTTCAGAACTACACATAGCATCACTACTTTCGACTCGACTCAAGGGACCGGAGCGTGGATGAAGCCGCCGTCTCTCGTGATGGTCATGAAATTGCGGGCGTTGTCAGCCTGCATTTGTAGCGTTGTGTCTATCTCACTGTTGGATGGTTGATTTCTGAGGTTGAACTACCCCGAGGTACGAAGGACATCTTGATGGATGATTTCCGCAAACTCCGACTAGATGCGAAAGAATTCTTGTCTGATGTCCGCGTCCTGGATTGCCGACAAGCTCGCGATCCAATCTTTGAGATTATTTGGTAGCAGAAGGTGATTATGATCCTGTACGATCGCCCGCATGTGATGGAGGGCGTAATAGGCATCCTTCTGACCGCCAGGCGGCTGCTTGACGTAGCAGAACGTCGTATTATGGGCGAACACGTGCTTGCCGTACTTACGAACTGGCCTGGTGAAGGTGCCTCCAGCCGG